AAAAGAAGCTGCAGGGCCAGCAGAATCAATGAAGAAAACAGAAGAAAAGAAAGAAAGATGCCCAACAGTGACAACCAACGACGGCTCTCGTTAACAACCTTTTCTCCCCTCCGGCGCCCTCACAACACCCCTGTCGGGTCTGTTCGGCCCCCGCTTCCCTCGCCAGGCAAGGCGACACCCATCACCTCCCTTCGTCGTCGTCCCCCGAGTCGACTGTGATAATCTCGGCGCCGCCGGCACGGTTGACGTGGTCGTGGACAGCCGCATTTGAATTGGCGCCAACGGACGGGCGCAGCGGCGTGCGGGCGTTAGACTCGTCGCACATCCGCAGCAAATAGTCGACGCCCATCAAGTCCACCGCTGGGTGCTGTGCAAGGAGGACAGGCTCCACCTGAGAGAGCATCGGAGTTGCCCCCAGCACTTCCTGGTCAATGGCTGGATGCACCACGCGCTGCTGCTGCTGCTGCTGGGGCGCAGGGAACAGCACCAATGAGTCGGCGGTTTGTTGCAGCACCGGCCTCAAAAAAGTAAGAACGGGTGGTGGGTGCAACACCGTCGAATCGTACGTGGTGCAGGCACTGCATGGCGGCATCGAGCTCTCAGGCACAGTGAATATTTGCGAAAAACATTCTGCCACGCCGTGTTCCTATCGGTCCACGCGCAACGACCCGGAAACAAACGGGATGGAGGCGTTAACCCACAAAGATGCTTCCACTAAGAGATTCGCCGGCATCCGCAAGAAAAGAGGTTGTCAACCTTGCGTTCACTCATTGGACGGGGAGACTTTTGCGACTGCAGCCCCTCGAGGGTATCTTGGGCCACCCGACCCCACGGCTCCCCCCTTCGGTCCCAAAAGACCCCGACCACGTGCCAGCCCACCCGCCGCGCCGTATTTCGGTCGCACAAACAAAAACGCCGTGTGGGTAAATTCAGCGCATGTGGCCGGGCACTCTCAGCCCGTTGGCCGGTCCCTCCAACGACGTGTCGTTTGCGCTGGTGGCGGGGCTCAGTGGAGGGCCCGCCAAAACACATGCCGTCGCGACCAGTCGTCCCGCTGCTGGGGCTTCAGCACAGCATGGT